TTAACAGACATCTATAGAACATTCCGCCCAAACACAAAGGGATATAATTCCTCTCAGCACCACATGGAACCTTCTCTAAAATTGACCACATAATAGGAAACATAGCAAACCTCCACAGATACAAAAAAAATTAGAATAACCCCCTGTATCTTATCAGACCACCATGCATTAAAATTAGAATTCAACAATAACACAAATCGCAGAAACCCTACAAACTCATAAAAATTGAACAATGCACAACTGCACCATCCCTGGGTAAAGGAAGAAATAAAAAAGAAATTAAATGCTTCCTGGAATTCAATGAGAATGAAGACACAACATACCCAAACTTACGGGACACTCTGAAAGCAGTGCTGAGAGGAAAGTTTATAGCACTAAGCACCCACATGAAGAACCTGAGAACAGTCACACTAGAGAATGAATAGCACAGCTGAATGCTCTAGAACAAAAAAAAAAAAAAGCAAACTCACCCAGGAAGAGCAGATGCCAGGAAATAATGAAATTGAGGGCTGAAATCAATCAAGTAGAACCGAGGAAAACATTGAGAAGAATCAATGAAACAAAGAGTTGCTTCCTTGAGAAAATCAATAAAATAGACAAACATCTGTCCAAACTAACCAAAAGACAAAGAGAGCATGCTAATTAACAAAATCAGAAATGAAAAGGGGGACATAACAATGAACACTGAGGAAATCCAGAGAATCATCAGGGCATACTTTGAAAATCTGTACTCCACAAAATTCAAAAATTTAAAGGAAGGAAATGGACAATTTCCTGGATAGATATCACTTGCCAAAACTAAATCAAGAACAGATAAACAATCTAAACAGACCTATAACCCTTAATGAAATAGAAGCAGTCATCAAAAGTCTCTCAACAAAAAAAAAAAAAAAAAACCCAGGCCCAGATGGCTTCAGTGCAGAATTCTACCAGAAATTCAAAGAAGAGCTAATTCTAGTACTCCTCAAAATATTCCACACAATAGAAGCAGGAGGCTCACTGTCAAACTCTTTTTACGAGGCTACAATTACCTTGATACCCAAGCCACACAAAGATACAACTAAGAAAGAGAACTATAGACCAATTTCCCTCATGAACATCGATGCAAAAATACTCAATAAAATACTAGCAAACCGGATTTAAAAACACATCAGAAAAATCATCCACCATGATCAAGTTGTCTTTATCCCAGGAATGCAGGGATGGTTCAATATTAGAAAATCTATCAATGTAATCCACTATATAAACAAACTGCGAAAGAAAAACCACATGAACATCTCACTAGATGCTGAAAAAGTCTTTGACAAAATCCAGCACCCCTTCATGATAAAGGTCCTAGAGAGATCAGGGATAACAGGAACATACCTGAACATAATAAAAGCAATATACAGTAAACCAACAGCTAACATCAAACACAATTCCTCTAAAATCAGGAACAAGACAAGGCTGTCCACTCTCTCCATATCTCTTCAATATTGTACTTGAAGTCCTAGCTACAGCAATAAGACAAAAAAAGGAGATCAAGGGGATACAAATAGGAAAAGAAGAAGTCAAGCTTTCAAAATTTGCAGATGATATCATAGTTTACATAAGTGATCCGAAAAACTCTGCAAGGGAACTCCTAGAGCTGATAAACACCTTCAGCAAAGTGGCAGGATACAAGGTAAACTCAAAAAAATCAATGGCCCTATTATATACAGATGATGAAGTGGCTGAGAAAGAAATCAGAGAAACGTCACCCTTTACAATAGCCATAAACAGCATCAAATATCTGAGGATAACATTAACCAAAGAAGTGAAAGACCTGTATATTAAGAACTTTGAGTCTTTAAAGAAAGAAATCAAAGAGGATACCAGAAAATGGAAAGATCTCCCATGCTCTTGGATTGGTAGGATCAACATAATAAAAATGGCAATCTTGCCAAAAGCAGTCTACAGATTCAATGCAATCTCTATCAAAATACTGGTACAATTCTTCACAGACATTGAAAGAACAATAATCAACTTCATATGTAAAAACAAAAGGCCCAGGATAGCCAAAACTACCCTATACAATAAAGGAACTTCAGGAGGCATCACCATCCCTGACTTCAAGCTCTATTATAGAGCTATAGTCCTGAGAACTGCTTGGTATTGGCACAAAAATAGACAGGTAGACCAATGAAATTGAATTGAAAACCCTAATTTTAACCCACACACCTATGAACACTTGATTTTTGACAAAGAAGCTAAAACTATACAATGGAAAAAAGAAAGCATCTTCAACAAATGGTGCTGGCATAACTGGGAATTGGTATGCAGAAGACTGCAGATAGGTCCATGTCTATCGCCTTGCACAAAACTGAAGTCCAAATGGATCAAAGACCTCAACATAAATACAAGCAAACTGAAACTCTTAGAAGAGAAAGTGGGAGATACTCTTCAACGAGTTGGTACAGGAGACCACTTCCTGAACATAACACCAGTAGCACAGACGCTGAGATTGACAATTAACAAATGGGACCTCCTGAAACTAAGAAGCTTCTGTAAGGCAAAGGACACAGTCAGCAAGACAAAAAGGCAGTATACAGAATGGGAAAAGATATTCACTAACCCCACATCTGACAGAGGGCTGATCTCCAAAATTTACAAAGAACTCAAGAAGCAAGTCTCCAAAACACCAAAGGATCCAATGAAAAGGTGGAGTACAGAACTAAATAGAGAATTCTCAATAGAGGAGGCTAATATGGCCAAGAGACACTTAAGAAAGTGCTCAACATCCTTAGCCACCAGGGAAATGCAAATCAAAACAACTTTGAGATACCTTCTTACTCCTGTCAGAATGGCTAAAATCAAAAACACCGAAGACAATTTATGCTGGAAAAGATATGGAGAGAGGGGAACACTCCTCCACTCCTAGTGGGAGTGGCAACTCATACACCCACTTTGGAAATCAGTATGAAGATTCCTCAGGAAAATGGGAATCAATCTACCATAAAATCCAGCAATTCCACTCTTAGGCATATATCCAAAAGATGCAAATTCATACAACAAGGACATCTGCTCCACTATGTTCATAGCAGCATTATCTGTAATAGCCAGAACCTGGAAGCAACCTAGATGCCCCTCAACTGAAGAGTGGATAGAGAAAATGTGGTACATTTACACAATGGAATACTATTCAGCAGAAAAAAAAATGGAAATCTTGAAATGTGCGGGTAAATGGATGGCACTAGAAGAAACCATCCTGAGTGAGTTAACCCAGTCACAAAAAGACAAACATGGTATGTACTCACTCATCTATGGATTTTAGACATGGATCAGGATAGTGCCAGTCTGCACTTTCACTGACAGAGATTCTGGGAAACAGGAAAGAACCTAAGAGAGATATGCATGGTACCCCAGAGAAGAGGAATGAGGCAAGATCTTCTGAACAGATTGGAAACACGGCGAGGGTTGGGGGAGAGTGGGAGCTGGGAAGAAAAGAGGGGGAGAAGAGGAAGAGAGAGTAGGTCATGGGAGAACAGGAAGGTTGAGTGGGGGGATAGAGTAGGGGGAAGAGGGAGTCATAGGTTAGAAGACAGATCTGGCACTTGTGAGACCTCTAGATCTGGCAATAGTGAGATCTCTAGTGATCTAAAGGGATGACACCAACTGGCAATAGTGGAAAGACCACCTTAAATGCCCATTCCTGATAATGAACTTGATGTCTACAACCATCCTATAACCTTCATCCAGTGACTGATGGAAGCAGAAACAAACATCCACAGTTAAACACTGAACTGAACCCATGGAACCCAGTGACAGAGAGAGAGGAGCGATGAGCAAATTGGCAATGAATGGGCTGGCAAAACCAGCAGAGACAGCTGATCTGAACAGGGGAGAGCTCTTGGACCCCAGACCGACAGCAGGGAGGCCAGCATGGGACTGACCCAGACCCCCTGAGTGTGAGAGTCAGTGAGGAGGCCAGGGCAACCTATGGGGCCCTGGGCAGTAGATCAGTGTTTATCCCTGGCATACAAACAGACTTTGTGTGTCTATAACACAAAGAGGGATGCTCTCTCAGCCTGGATTGTTAGGGTCGTGCCTGGACCCTGCCCTGAGTGAAATGACAGACTCTAGATATCTCCTATGTGGATGGAAGTGGCGATAGGTGGGAGGCTGGGGGGGGATGTGGGAGGAGGAGAGGGAGAGGGAACTGGGATTGACATGTGAAGCAAGCTATTTAAAATTAAAATAATAAAAAAAAGCTGTGGATATTCTCATTTTGTCATTGTATCACAAGTTTCAAATGTATAAAGAATTTCTGATAAATATTGGCTTCAGAAGACAAGACAGAATGAGCAGGGAAACTGACTCTCACTTTGGACAACTGGAAGAAACAGGGGAATCAGGAAGAGAAGAAACAACACAAACATTGAGGTATTGTATCATTAATCTGAGAGCTAATGTTTACACAGCACTGAAGTGTGACAATGTTTTATGGCGAACCTAATAAAAGGCATTTAGGGAATTACAGATAAGAAGTATTTAGTACTGACAATTCTTCCCACTTGATAGGGACTTACAAAATACTTCTCCAGCACACTAATTCATTTCCTAGCATTAGAGAAAAGTCCAAGTAAGCAGCTCAAATGATCTTCAGTGTTGGATTATTCATTAGCTACTACTTAAAGAGTAAGATAAATACCAGTTTCCTCTGAAGGAAGAAACACCTCCTGTATAATCCCAGCACTCAGACAGCAGACAAATGCAATCATGAATTTAAGACCAATCTTGACTGCAAAGATTTATCTCAGAAGAACCAAACAATAACAAGAAAAACAAAACAAACCAAAAAAAGGGGGGCTGCTGACAGTTCAGCTGGTAAAATCATTTGCTGTCAAGTCTGAAGAGCAGAGTGCTATCCCATTTGTTAGAAAGACAAGTTGTCCTCTGGCCTCTACATGCTTAACATGGCACATGCACAAACACAATAAACAAGCAAACAAACAAAGTCAAAAAATTAAAGCAATACTCACCACCTTCGTTCAGTTCTATGGTCAGAGTCTGGTTGCCAGTTGGATGGGAGACAAAGCAGACCACCGCAGACACAGTGTTGTGTTCCCAATGGTATGCGCTCCTGACAGTCACAGAGCCATTGCTGTGGGATTCATTCTTAGTGACATGATACCCAGCTGGAGCCCAAAAGATCTGAGCAGCAGGCTTGCCTGCAATGGCCTCACAAACTGCAGTTCTGTTGTCCCCTGGAAACAGGGTTACTTCAGGGGGGACTGTGGAGATACAAGGGAAAAAAAGATTCAGACTTTCACAAATTCCAAAGATATTTGATTTTGTTTAAAATCTGGTGAAATGCCACATAATGTGACAACTTGTTTACCTAGAACTTGGAGGTCATGTATCATTTGAAAATGCCCTTCAGCTGATGCTATCTCACAAGAATAATGTCCATCATGACCGAGGGCCACTGTATTGATCTGAAGGTCAGGACTCTGGTCAGGTGTGGAGGCCCAGGTGATTCTCCTGTCCGTACAGTTGATTTCATTTGTCTCATTTGTTTCTACTTTGTAGGACATTGTGCAGGGAGGTTGGCCTCTGAGGGCTATTTTCCACGCTATTAATATTACTTTTGTCCACGAAATAGGAATGCAGCACAGCAGAGCCTTGGTACCCATCTGTGCAGACACTGGAGCACTAACTGGACACACACAGAGAATGAGAAAAGGAAACCTGTGTTTTAAGTCTGTCCACAGCAGCATATATGAAGTTACATTAGAGTGTCGCTTGGCTAATGAATGAATTTTAGCAAAATTGAATTTTTCCCACATTTCTTAGTTCCATATGTTTAATCTATCAGAATTAAATACATTATTCACTTTCTAAAGTAAATTTCAAGGTCTCTGGGCTACACACATGTCTCACCATAAAACCTCACACTGCCTGTACACTGACTTAAAGAGCCCATGTTGGATACAAGTTTGCTGAGCGGTGATTACACAACAAAACTATCTGTTACAGTCACCTGTGACAAAAAGTCAATAATGTCATCATTTAACAGGGGCAGAAATCGCTGTGAATAAACCTTGCTTCTGATAAACATTGTACCAACTATCTCAGCTATCCTATTTCTATGTCACTTGCATCTTCAGGGCCCTCAAGTCCTCACAAATCAGATCCAAAACAAGGTCTAAATAGATGACAGAAGGTTCTTCAACACAGACCTGGAATGGTGCTAATCCCATAGCCTTTCTTCCTCTAAGACAGCAAAGGTTCAGAGGCAGTTACTCAGGGTCCCTCACACTACAACCCTCACATTACCAGTCTGTTCTACTCATCCTAAATCTGTCTAGCAGCCAAGGCACGAGCTCCTGTTTCTAAGCAAGTCAACTCTACATACCCACAGTGCTGGCCACAAGATAAAGAAGAAGAGTACCTTCTGCACGTAATGAACCATTCTGTGATGTTTGATTCCCATTCATACAACTTGACTCTAGAAAACATTTAAATAATAATGTTTAAATATTTAAACAACTGTAAGGCAATAATTAGAAGTTCAATCATTACTGATATGTCAACATCTTGAACATTACATTTACAAGATATTTGTCAATTATTTCCCAGTTATGAATGACCTTATTTTATCAAATAGTTTGTAGAGTAAACCTCCTTTCCTTCTTCCAGGCCCTTGCCAGGTCCAGTGTAGGCATTCCGCATAAGATAACTTGGCTAAATTCCTTTCTCCAGGTGTCATCCCCTAATGAAAGCCATTTGGTCCAATAATGAACACTATACAGACGAAGAAGCAGAATCATCCTCAAAAACTGCAGAAACAGAATTACGAAGAGTTCATCCTCTCTTTCTTCCTGCTTTCAGGAAGTGAAGCAGAAGAGAGGTAGGGACAGGTTGCTGCTCCTTTCCTCTGCCCACTTTCTTGTTACATAGTTCCTGCAACCTACTTGTATTGAGTTCTGTAGAATTTCTCCAAATTATAGTACCCCCAAGCCAGGAATACCTGCATAGAGGGGGAGGCAGGAGAATCATGAATGTCAGAGCAGCTGACCACAAAGTGAATTTGAGGCCAGCCTGGACTACATAATGATACACGGCTTTAGAAAACAAAACAAAAACTAGTCTTAATCAACTTCAAATTTGGTTTCTTAAACACTGATCTGCAATATTTCATGCTTTCCAAGTGACAATTAAAGAGACAGGATAAGCCGGGCGTTGGTGGCGCACGCCTTTAATCCCAGCACTTGGGAGGCAGAGGCAGGCGGATCTCTGTGAGTTCGAGGCCAGCCTGGTCTACAGAGCTAGTTCCAGGACAGCCTCCAAAACAATGCAGAGAAACCCTGTCTCGAAAAACCAAAAAACAAACAAACAAACAAGAGACAGGATAAAAAGAATAGAATTATTTTAGTATCCTAAGGTATTTACACTACTGTGAAGTGTTAGTGTGCTTTTTAATAGTAGAACTGGACAATTGCAAATGTATGAAATGTATGTCTCAACCAAAAGCAAAACATTATCTACGCTAAATAACAAGAGACAGCAAAAGTACAGAAAATCTTCAGTTAAAAACATAAAAGTTTACAAAAAGAACAAGCCTGTCATTTGCTGGAAAACGAAGTGACACATGTTATTGCATGGGAAAACAAAATAAAAGCCAAAGACCTGAAAACAGAAGTAAGATCACATTGAACTGGAAAGGAAAGGGTTACAGGAAAGGGGAGAGGCTGGAGATGGAAGAAGAAATTTCTTCTTTCTTTACTTAATTCAGAATAGAAGACACAGGTATAAACCACAAAGCTACAGCCACCTGATTTTCAATTGAAATTAGATTTTTCATAAAATAGATTCTAATTATGATTTCCCCTCCTCCCAGATCCTCCCCACCCATACAAATCCACACCCTTTCTTGCTCTCTCTCTCATTAGAAAGCAAACAGCTAACATCTAAAAATTACTAGTAGAAATAAAGTAAGATAAAATAAAAACAAACAAACAAAAAAAAAGAAAGAAAAGAAAAGAGCCAAAGAGGAAGCACAAGAAACACATACAGAGATAGAGACACACATATTTGCACACACAGAAATCCCATAAACACACGAAACCAAAAACCATCATATATAAACAAAAGACCTGTATGGAAAAAAATGTGCCCAGACAAAGCATTATGACACCAAAAAAACTCCAAAACTACCAACAAGTTCATTTTGTGTTGGCCATCTACTGCTGGGCATGGGACCTACTCTTAAGTTAGACTCTGTTGGAGAAAAAAAAAATCACTTTTCCATTGTGGGCAGTTATCAATTTGAGATAGATTCTGGGTTACGGATGGGACTCTTTGCACTTCCTCTCTCAGCATTGGGAACCCATCTGGGTTAGACCTTTGCAGACTGTGTGCATGTTGCCAGGGTCTCTGTAAGCTCATATGTGTCAGTCCTTCTGTGTCTAGAAGGTCTTGTTTCCTTGGTTGTCTTCCCTCCCCCACTGGCTCTTGTAATCTTTCTACCTCCACTTCCATAGAGTTCCCTGAGTCTATGGAAGCATGCAGAATACCTTCCAATACCATGAACACTAGTCAGGAGAGGTGAAGGTTCTAGGTTGGCACCAGCTTGACCTCTCCATGTCCAATGAGTTACAAAGATGTTGTCTTCAGCAATACACCCTTACTCTCAATTTGTGGAGATAAACCAACAGCCTTGGCAATACAGCCACCTGATTTTTAGCAAAGATATAAAAAATATACATTGGAGGAAGACAACCTTGTCAAAAAAAATAGTGCTGTGAAAACTGGATATCTATATGTAGATGGATGAAAGCAGATTCCTATCTCACATATCACATAGGAATCAACTTCAAATGGAGCAAAGGCATTAATATAAGCCCTGAAACTCGGATGCTGTGTGGATATTTGAATGAAAATGCCCCCCCCCTAGTCTCAAGGAGTGGCACTATTAGGAGGTGTGGCCTTGTTGGAAGAACTCTGTCACTGGGGTAGGCTTTGAGGTCTCAAAAGCTCAAGCCAGGCCCAGTATCATTCTTTCTTCCTGCTGCCTGCTGATCCAGATCTAGAACCCTTGGCTCCATCTCCAGCACCATGTCTGCCTGTGTACCACCATGCTTCCCACCATGAGGACAATGGACTAAACCTCTGAATCTGTAAGCCAGCCCCAATTAAACACTATCCTTATTAAGAGTTGCCATGGTCACAGTGTCCCTTCACAGAATAGAAACCCTAACTAAGATATGCTAATAGAAGAAAGAGAAGAAGAAACATTCAAGATAGAGCAATAGACAAGACTTTAGTCACTCAGGAAGTAAGGCCAGTAATTGGCAAAAGATATTTTATTATATGAAGAAGTTTCTGTATAGCAAAGGAAATAATCGAGTGAAAAGACACATATGAGAGAGAGATCTTTACTAGCTATATATCTCCCGGAGAGCTAATACACAGAATATTTAAAAAAACCAAAAGATTAAATGGTCCAATTAGCAAATGAGTTAATGAAATAAACAGACAATTCTCAAAAAGGAGGACAAATGAATAATAAACATATGGAAAATGTTCATATTACTAACAATCAGAGAAATGCAAACTGAGAACAAAATCTCACACCAGTCAGAATGATAAACATTAAGAAGGCAATTACAGGTTAGAGGCAGGATAGGGGGTAAAAATAATGCAATAATATTTTAAATAAATAAAAATAGAAAAAGAAAACAACCACACACATGCAGATAAGATACATAGAAAGGGGAGCCCATATACATCTATACATTGCTGTTAAGAACGTAAATTAGCTTCCATCATAATTGCCAAAATTTGGACACCAACAAGATATTCTTTGTAAACAAACAGGAAAATATATTGTCACATTTGGAAATAACAATATCACTCGGTGCTTGAAAGAAATTGTCAGAGCTGAAGACATACCTAGGTGGGTAGAGAGCTTGCTTAGCATACACAACACCCTGAGTTCAAGCCCCAGCCTTGTACAGAAGTGGACATAATATACTCATGTAATTCTAGGGATTTGGAGGTAGAAGACGGACAGCTAGAAGTTTAAGGATACCCTTGACCACATTTGGAAATCATAAGTTAAAGAAAGAGGTAGAGAGGGCTATTGGGCCATTAAGAGATGCGAAGGAAAATTAAATGCACATGACTAAACTTGAAGAAAAACTGGAAAAACTGCACACTTACTGCTGCCTTGTGGCATGGTGGGAAACCCATAGTTGTGGCTAGAGTAAATATGGGTTAGAGAAAATGGAAGGAAAAATGCACAGAGCAAAGATGATTTTAGGGCAACAAAAGGACTCTGTATGTGGTGATATCTGTCTGAAGGTCAGAGAATGGAGCTTGCCACTAGTTAACCATAGAGGCCTGGAGGTCTGTACAGACAGGAAGTGAGCTAGCTGGGTGGAAACAGGATACAAGCAGGGAGTAACAGGAACTCACTCTTTTGTCTGCTGAGACGCTAAGGAGGTAAAGTGTGCCAGTGGCTTGCTTCTTTTTCTCTCTGATCTCTCAGCATTTTCTTCTATATCTGATTTTGGATTTTTATTACTTAGACCAATTAAGAACTCATTTACATCTATATGATGTTATAATCTTAGATATTGCTGTCATACATTGTTTGAGCCCTTAGGATATACAACATAAGGGTGAACCCTAAGGAGCCAAATGTATCAATTTATGAGCTATACTAAATGCATCATCTTAGTGGGGACTGCAGATAACTGAGAAGGCTTCACATGTGCAGAGGCAGGGGCAGGCGTAGGGATATGGGCATTGTCTCAACCTTCCACTGAGTTCTTCTGTGAATCTAAAACTTCCCTTTAAAAAAATCTATTAATGTTTAATTTCAAAGTTACCCCCAAATGAAAATTCTGGAAACAGAATGAGAACAGAAAATATACTAACTAGCTCATTGTTCAAAAAGATAAACCAAATGTCGGATGAAGAGTTTTGGATATGCCATGATTTATTTTAATGGATTGCATTCTTGAAATTGGTGCTAAATAAACAGAAATAATTTCAGAATCAAAAATTTGTCAACACTCTTAAACACAAAGAACATAATCTGGATAATACTATAAAACAGTGATTCTCAAGCTGTGGGTTGCAACCATCAGAAAGCACATATTTCCAGTGGTCTTAGGAATGCCCAACCATAAATTTATTTTTGTTGCTACTTTATAACTGTAATTTTTCTACGGAGCAATATCACAGTTCCTAAGACCATCAGAAATGTGTGTTTTCCGATGGTCGTGACCTACAGGTTGAGAATCACTGCTATAAAATGTCTCCTTTCCAAGTACTAACCAGGATGGCCCTGCTTATCTTACAAGATCAGGCATGCGCAGGGTAGTGTGACAGTAGAAAGTACTCTAGAAACATTAACTGCATATAAAGCAATTTGAGAGCCTAAAACCCAAGCACTTCCTAAGCATCAAGCACTGAGTCACTAGGACTACCACTAAAGGA